TGATGAGTGGAGCTGCAGAGACAGGATTCTTTCACTCCCCATAGTAGGTGGAACAATGGATCTCAGCAGAGTATTTCTGACTGCAAAGCCCACACCATATTCCCTGGTCTCATTTGATGGTTTTCCCTGCCAGAAGAATGTGAAGTTTTTTTCTTTGACAGATCCCGAGTCTGGCAATCTCGTCTCTTGCAGGGCAGCAATGTCAATCTGCAGTCTACTAAGTTCCATGTCAAAATATACCTCTCCCAGAGAAAATGTGCTCCCAAAACAGAGCCTTCCTGGTGCCTGAGTGCCCCCTTCCAGATGGGGCCCATTTGCGTCACCTTTGTCCTTTTGTGAATTCAAGGTAACCTACATGGACTTCTTCCTTTCCACAACCCTGTAAGGTAGGTCAGGCTGAGAATCTAACAGGTCACCACCTGAGCATCGTGACGGAGTGAGAATCTGAACCCATGTCAGCCAGCTCAATTCCCGAAAACCACGCCATCAGAACTGGCTGGTGTGTCTCCAAGGTTTTAACCTCCACTTTTATAGTAACATTGCAAAAATGTGTTTGACTGCATTTGCGTCGCCTTTGTCCTCTTGTGAATTCAAGGTAACCTACATGGCCTTCTTCCTTTCCACAACCCTGTAAGGTAGGTCAGGCTGAGAATCTAACAGGTCACCACCTGAGCATCGTGACGGAGTGAGAATCTGAACCCATGTCAGCCAATTCAATTCCCGAAGACCACGCCATCAGAACTGGCTGTCCGTTTTGGCCAGGAAGGCTCCATGCTAGAGAGATGCAGGGAGAAGATCTGCCGACCGCCTCCTCCCCTTTCCGACAGATCAATCCTCAACGAGGCTCAGCCTGTTGCGGCTCCAACCGGAACCCCCGACCTCGGCTGGATAGCTGCCGGGAAGCCACTTTCCCTCACTTGAGGGCGCAGAGCCCAGTCATCCCGAGCCCTCCCCCCCACACACACACCGTTTCGCTTCACAAGACAGGCAGCGAGCGAGGAAAGAGCACGGCGCTCCTGAATGGGAAACAGCGCCCGCCACAGAGCTGCAACCCCCCCTCCGCCTCCCCCCGCCCGTCTGGACGCCGCCCTTCTTCCGACTGGGAGAAGCGGCCCCGCTCCCTGCCCGACGCTCACCCTCGGCCAACAGCGCCGTGCAGACCGAAATGAAAACGATCAGAACGGTGTCGGCAAACATGGTGCTCATTTTCGGACCTTCCACCGCAGGGGCTGCCGGGAACTTTAGGCCAGACCGGAAACCGGCGAGCACCAAGTGGGGGGGGAGAAGAAACCGAGACAGAGCACGTCATTTCCGCTTTCCCGGGGCTTTTTTTCCCCTCCTCGCGCGCGGTCCGAGCAGGAAGGTGCTGAAATTGCTCAAGAAACCCATGGAGCAAAGCCGAGGGGGGGACGAGGAGAGCGTTATTTCCCGTTATTTCGAATAGCAGGAATGCTTTATATTATTTTTAACAACCATTTCGGGGGGGGGAGAGGGACACCTCATCTTTCTTTTTCAAGAAACAACATTTTCTGGGGGAATACCGAAAAGTTTCAAGAGGGAGAAGTGATGGTCTGATCTCCTTGAACTGTTTTTCCAAACTAAAAACTGCCATACGCGCACTGCAGGCTGCGTTTCCCTTTTTAAAAACCATACGTTAAAAATGCTCCTGAGTTTGGACGACAATAGCCGTGTGCGTCCTTGCAAGACTGTTGTAATACAGTATATGACAGTCCGTGATATACAGTATGGACGGTACCGTAGCGTTGCCTCAAGCCGCCGGCCGAGTCTGTGTAAAATTCAGGGTGTTTCCATTATTATTTATCACCAGCTCTTACTTTTGGTTCGGCTAAACAAACAAACAAACAGATACTAAGGGGTTTACCGACGTCTACTGAAAACTGTATGATTACGCGAATTTCTATCTCTATGCGCACTGCAGAGAGAGAGAGATCGCAGAAAGGGATCAGCCAATCAGCGACAGCATTTACAAGCATGCGCGGACAAGCGGTAAGGGGGCGATTTTCTTCTCAAATGATTCATTCATTCATTCCTGTCTGCTGATTGTCCCTTTGGGATTCTGCCTGAGATCGGTCTCTTTTGTTCTGTAGTTTTCAGTATCAGACCGTTCCTTCATACTTCTCAATTTTCCTCGTCCCTTCTGCTTGGGAAGGGGGCGGGTGAGCATGCAAGTGGGGCTTTTGCAATAGTGTTGGAACCCCACTGAGATGATGGGGAGACATCTTCAAGACTACCCTACAGTTATGTAGGCTTATTTTGGTGAAGGACCTTGAGCCTAGCTATGTTCTTGTGTGATATTAGGCACAGTAAGACACAAGTCGCTTTTCCTAGACATTGTGTCATATTTTTGACCTCTACTGAATATTCGTCTTCAGCCGCAAGACAAACTGAGCCCATTTTATGCATGATGAATAATTCACAAACTGACTGAGGCAACAGTCTTTGTAATCCCATACCTTGACGTAAACCCTGCTGAAATCAGTGGGATTAACTTCTTGTAAGTGTGCATAGGACTGGCATTCATCATGTAATTCTCATAGATACCTCTTTGGAACAGTTTCTGCAGAACAAATAATAACTAGCAGCAAAAAAGGCAGGATTGCTTACCTGTCACTGTGGTTCTTTCAGGGGCCATCTGGGAACTCACACAAATGGGTTTTTCTGTGCCTGTTTGTGTGGGTTCACGCAAACAGGCACAGAATGATGAAGAACAGTACTGTATTATGTTTAATGAAAGCTGCAACTGTGTCTCTTCTGTGGTAACAATTTGATATTATCATTTGATGCTTCAGCCGTCTGAGTTTGAGGAAAAAGCAGCAACTAGAAAATTGCAGGATTATATCTATCCAGAAAGGAGTAGAAACAGTGCAGGGGTTTAATGTCATATAGAACCAAATAGTTCGCTTCCAATCAACAATATGTCCATGGATGTTTTTTGTAGATCACCTGGCAAACTTTTCTGCACAATTCTAACAAAGGAGGTTTGTAGCTCAATGGGATCTGCTCACAAATAAATCTGCACAAATTTTTCTGAAAGATTAATCAAACATACCTTCATAAAGAATATATGATTTGTAAGCCTACGAGGAAAGTTCCATAAATGGTGGCATTATTTACCACGTTACCGTTATACAAAATTCTTAATAAAAGTGTGAACAGGTTTTTAAAAATAGGATTTGCATGTTTTTCTTGAACGTTTAGTTGTCCGTAAGCTAGTTTTCTTAAATCTACATGCACATTATTTATATGTGCAGCTTCTGCATTTATCTTACAAGATTTTTTTTCCACAATTGCTTATGATTTTCTTGAAGAACTTGGAAACAGAAGGGTCAATACCAATGAAACACACCTTTTGAATTCTAACATTTCTCTCAGGCCTTTGTGTGAATCAAGTTAGTCGAGAGGTTGTGCTTGTATTTGATGAGAACCTCAGCGATGCCGACATTTATGACAGGGTTTTGATTGGTTTTTGGATCTTTTATTATTTCACCATTGCAATTGTATACTTTTTGATGTTTTGTTAAAAAATCTCAGAAATAAATGTTAGCTCTTTCTTATGCGTATGGCTGCAAGAGGACAGATGCCAAAACTGTCTTTGTAATATTTTAATAACAGACTTCTAGCAGCAGATATTAACGTGTGCCTGTGTATGTTTTGCTTGTGTATGAAATTCCTAGTGATTTCAGTTTTTCTATCCGCAGTGACCAGGAGGCTCCAGTCAGACAGGAGGAGAGGGTGTGGGATGGAAAGAGGTCACAGACATGCTTCCTCCGCCAGCAGTGGGTGGGGAAAGGGAGGCGGCCGAGGGATGACGCGGCGGTGAACCCCCTGCATGCGCCAGCCGGCTCAGGCAAGAGGCGGGGAATGGGGGTGGCACCTGGCGGGGAACCACGCCGAGCCGGGCCCGGGATCTGAAGCCTGGAGGGCACCCGACTCAGTCAAGCGGCAGACGCGTCCCGGGTCCGGCGGT